TGAAGTTGGTGCATTTGCGCAGGTACAATCATCAGTTGTACTGTGCCTGATGACTGTGTGGTGGAAGGAAGTTCAGTCACTGTCACCTGTACCAGATCTCTGGACCTAACTCAACAGAGCAGGATACAAGTTAACACTGCAGATGGTTCTGCCATAGGTTTGGAGTTTAATGCTGGGTGTCATCGTTTGGAAATGTTTTTACACACCTTTTAGCCCCAGCCGACTACACTACACTCAACATACCTGTGAACCGACCGAGCTTCTTTGCCGACAATGTTCTGAACTACAGAGGAGGGGCCAGACAGGATTCAGTGATATCGTTTGACATCCAAACTACAGCAGACAGTGATGATACAGAGCCTACAGAGACATTCTTCCTCAATGTCTCTCCTGTGAGGACGGCCATTGTCCTGACACCACGAGTTCCCATTACCATTTGTGGAGGTATGAACCATGAGATAGTTCTTGTCTAGCAATCCAGTCATACAACCACAAATATTTATGATTGTCTTTGTGCAGTTACCCAAGATATACGCTGCCCTGAATTGACTGATCCTGCCAATGGTATGGTGATGGTTGCTGAAACCACTCCTGGTGATGCAGCTACTTACACCTGCAATGACGGCTATAAGCTAGATGGAGCATCAACCAGAACGTGTGGTTCAAATGGTCAATGGAGTCCTGAGGAACCTAGGTGCTTAGGTAAATGGACGTGCACCTGGAAGAAACATTATCCATAGGCAACTATTATACTGGCACTGGGTTTGTTAGAATGCCGCTTTTTACTTTTCTTTTTTTCCTTTGTTTTTTGTGCATCCGTGTCTGTCCATTATATTCTATTACGTGCCCCAGCCCTAGCAATATGTAACAAATTTTTGAGAGCTGAATCCCATGTTTCCTCCCTATGTTATAATTATTCACACCACCAGCAATGTGTCCAACCCTGACTGGTCCTGCCAATGGTGTGGTGGTAGCAGAAGGTAACTGTGAGGGAGATACAGCTACTTACACCTGCAATGAGGGCTATAAGCTAGATGGAGTAGAAACAACAACATGTGGTCCAGATGGTCAATGGAATAGTGATCCCCCTGTTTGCTTAGGTAAGTGATATCCGTTTGCCAACTTTATGAAGTCGTAATTGCGACGCACATGGTGAGCGAGCGCGAGCTGCATTAAATTTTTCGCATTATTTTTTTTGGTGCGTATTTAGAAACACATATATAGAACATTTCTGTACAATGTGCTGTTCCAGTATATATATATCGTTGTTGGCCTGGGCCAAAGTGCCACATGGGATATGTTGAAGCAGTTGTGACGTTATGCCACAACTGTGCCCACCTGCCGTGCCGGCAATGTTGCTGTTTACATAGCGACTACATAGTTGTCTCTTTCCCTACAGTCTTGCGTGAGTTCTGCTATTGTTGTCAAAAGGGAAACCCTGGCAGCTGAACTGCTGTTAGATTATCTGTTTTTCTATTGTTCTTTTACTCTAGTAGGCAACAATAATGAGACTATGTAGGTTTGGTTCGCTTGCCAAAAATATGAACCCCATGGTTCCTATCCCTATGTGGAAAGTGATTGCTAGAGGTGCACCACCTGCTCACACAATAGTCAGTGAAGCTACCATGTATTATGTAAAGAAGCTAGGTAAGTGTTATGGTGAATGGAGTGGCGATCCCCCTGTTTGCTTAGGTCTATAAAAAAAAAAATTCCCACAAATTTTATGAAGTTGCAATATTTTGGGAACACTTTGGTTTACAGGCAATAGTGTTCACAAATAGTAGCCTTTACAAACGTTTTTCCGTCATTTATTTAAACCATAGATAAAACTCTGGTTAAGCACAGTTAACATTTGAAGCATGGTGATATTCTTTCCAGCTACATGTCCGAGTTTGTCTAATCCTACTAATGGAATGGTGGCGGCAGAAGGGAACTGTGAAGGAGACACAGCAACTTACACGTGTAACAGTGGATTCGAATTGGATGGAGCTGCTATTCTAACATGTCAGAGTAATGGAATGTGGGACAACCCTCTACCTACGTGTCGTGCTGGTAAGAGCAAAAAACTTACAGCTGGGCTAAAGACACATTATTTGTCAAACTAATTTTAAACGCTTGTACTAGTGTCGTGTGCCCATTTACATTACGGTAGAATGAAAAAGTTTGCTGATGTGATCTAATAGTGGTGTTGGATTTGCACATAGTGAAAAACAGCAAAACTAATCCCTCAAAGAGCTACTAAATGTTTTTATTTCCTTATTACACTTTTGTTTCAGTATTTGTGTCATTTGATCCAACATCCTACACTGTCACTGAGGGAGAGGATGGAGCTGCTGAATTGATACTAGTCAGAAGTGGATATCTCAGTAGAGCCACTGTTGTCACTGTCACCACTGCTGATGGTTCAGCAATTGGTATGTTGTATATAGTGTAAGCCAGGATTATTCACTTTTGACTTTCTCTTCCTCCAGCTGGTTACGACTACACTACCACTACAAGGACAGTAACATTTCAAACTGGAGAGACTGGGGCTAGAGTCAGTGTCCAAATCACTGATGACAACATGGTGGAGAATGTTGAAGAATTTACCGCAATCCCTGTCTAGCTTAGAAAATGTTATGATTGTTGAAGACAGAGCAACTGTCACAGTACTGGACAACGATGGTTAGTTTTTATTGACATGGAAGTTATGCCTTATATTAATTAAATATTTTAGTACTTGTGTCATTTGATCCAACATCCTACACTGTGACTGAGGGAGAGGATGGAGCTGTTGAATTGATACTAGTCAGAAGTGGAGATCTCAGTAGAGCCACTGTTGTCACTGTCACCACTGCTGATGGTTCAGCAATTGGTATGTTGTATATAGTGTAAGCCAGGATTATTCACTTTTGACTTTCTCTTCCTCCAGCTGATTCCGACTACACTACCACTACAATGACAGTAACATTTCAAACTGGAGAGACTGGGGCTAGAGTCAGTGTCCAAATCACTGATGACAACATGGTGGAGAATGTTGAAGAATTTACCGCAATTCTGTCTAGCTTAGAAAATGTTATGATTGTTGAAGACAGAGCAACTGTCACAGTACTGGACAACGATGGTTAGTTTTTATTGACATGGAAGTTATGCCTTATAATTATTTATTAATTTTTTAGTATTTGTGTCATTTGATCCAACATCCTACACTGTGACTGAGGGAGAGGATGGAGCTGTTGAACTGATACTAGTCAGAAGTGGATATCTCAGTAGAGCCACTGTTGTCACTGTCACCACTGCTGATGGTTCAGCAATTGGTATGATGTATAGTGTAAGCCAGGATTATTCACTTTTGACTTTCTCTTCCTCCAGCTGGTTCTGACTACACTGCCACTACAAGGACAGTAACATTTCAAACTGGAGACACTGGGGCTAGAGTCAGTGTCCAAACCACTGATGACCTTCTGATAGAAAGTAGTGAGACATTTCTCGGCCTCTTGACCAGCTCTGAACCAACTGTCATGATTGGTGATGGGACTGCAACTGTAACTATTTTGGACAATGATGGTGGGACTGTACTTGATTTTGTAAATACCCTTTTTAACTCCTACTTCTTCACTCAGGATGTCCCAGTCTACCAGATATTCCCAATGGATCTGTGGCAGTGTCTGGCTTTGGAACAGGAGATACGGCAGTCTACTCTTGTGATGAAGGGTATGAGCTGGTCGGAAACTCAACTAGAGAGTGTTTATTTGACTCATCATGGAATGGAGAGGTTCCAATCTGTCGCAGTCTTGCTGGTAAAATAATTATACTCCCGGAATTGTCTGTTTCACATGGCTAGTTCACTATTGTAACATTAATAAATTGCCTCAACCATTTTTCAATGATGGTGTCTTTCAGTGTCTCTATCATTTGAGCCAACATCCTACACTGTGACTGAGGGAGAGGATGGAGCTGTTGAATTGAGACTGGTCAGAAGTGGAGATCTCAGTAGAGCCACTGTTGTCACTGTCACCACTGCTGATGGTTCAGCAATTGGTACGATGTAGTGTAAGCCTGGATTATTCACTTTTGACTTTCTCTTCCTCCAGCTGATTCTGACTACACTGCCACTACAAGGACAGTAACATTTCAAACTGGAGACACTGGGGCTAGAGTCAGTGTCCAAACCACTGATGACCTTCTGATAGAAAGTAGTGAGACATTTCTCGGCCTCTTGACCAGCTCTGAACCAACTGTCATGATTGGTGATGGGACTGCAACTGTAACTATTTTGGACAATGATGGTGGGACTGTACTTGATTTTGTAAATACCCTTTTTAACTCCTACTTCTTCACTCAGGATGTCCCAGTCTACCAGATATTCCCAATGGATCTGTGGCAGTGTCTGGCTTTGGAACAGGAGATACGGCAGTCTACTCTTGTGATGAAGGGTATGAGCTGGTCGGAAACTCAACTAGAGAGTGTCTATTTGACTCATCATGGAATGGAGAGGCTCCAGTCTGTCGCAGTCTTGCTGGTAAAATAATTATACTCCCGGAATTGTCTGTTTCACATGGCTAGTTCACTATTGTAACATTAATAAATTGCCTCAACCATTTTTCAATGATGGTGTCTTTCAGTGTCTGTATCATTTGAGCCAACATCCTACACTGTGACTGAGGGAGAGGATGGAGTTGTTGAATTGAGACTGGTCAGAAGTGGAGATCTCAGTAGAGCCACTGTTGTCGCTGTCACCACTGCTGATGGTTCAGCAATTGGTATGTTGTATATAGTGTAAGCCAGGATTATTCAGTTTTGACTTTCTCTTCCTCCAGCTGATTCCGACTACACTACCACTACAATGACAGTAACATTTGAAACTGGAGAGACTGTGGCTAGAGTCAGTGTCCAAATCACTAATGATAATATGGTGGAGAATGTTGAAGAATTTACCGCAACCTTGTCTAGCTCAGAATCAAATGTTATGATAATTGAAGACAGAGCAACTGTCACAGTACTGGACAACGATGGTTAGTTTTTATTGACATGGAAGTTATGCCTTATAATAATTTATTAATTTTTTAGTATTTGTGTCATTTGATCCAACATCCTACACTGTGACTGAGGGAGAGGATGGAGCTGTTGAACTGATACTAGTCAGAAGTGGATATCTCAGTAGAGCCACTGTTGTCACTGTCACCACTGCTGATGGTTCAGCAATTGGTATGATGTATAGTGTAAGCCAGGATTATTCACTTTTGACTTTCTCTTCCTCCAGTTGGTTCTGACTACACTGCCACTACAAGGACAGTAACATTTCAAACTGGAGACACTGGGGCTAGAGTCAGTGTCCAAATCACTGATGACCTTCTGATAGAAAGTAGTGAGACATTTCTCGGCCTCTTGACCAGCTCTGAACCAACTGTCATGATTGGTGATGGGACTGCAACTGTAACTATTTTGGACAATGATGGTGGGACTGTACTTGATTTTGTAAATACCCTTTTTAACTCCTACTTCTTCACTCAGGATGTCCCAGTCTACCAGATATTCCCAATGGATCTGTGGCAGTGTCTGGCTTTGGAACAGGAGATACGGCAGTCTACTTTTGTGATGAAGGGTATGAGCTGGTCGGAAACTCAACTAGAGAGTGTTTATTTGACTCATCATGGAATGGAGAGGCTCCAATCTGTCGCAGTCTTGCTGGTAAAATAATTATACTCCCGGAATTGTCTGTTTCACATGGCTAGTTCACTATTGTAACATTAATAAATTGCCTCAACCATTTTTCAATGATGGTGTCTTTCAGTGTCTGTATCATTTGAGCCAACGTCCTACACTGTGACTGAGGGAGAGGATGGAGTTGTTGAATTGAGACTGGTCAGAAGTGGAGATCTCAGTAGAGCCACTGTTGTCACTGTCACCACTGCTGATGGTTCAGCAATTGGTATGATGTAGTGTAAGCCTGGATTAATAACCCTCGCCTGCGCGCATGTGCAGCGAGGGTTATTGCAGTCGGTCTGTCTGTGTGTGTGTGTGTCTGTGTGTGTGTGCGTGTGTCCGTCCGTCCGTCTGTCCTCCTTTTTTCTCGGTAACCGCGGCAACTCTGAGCGTGAAACGTGGACATATTTTCAACTAGGAGGAATGCATGGTAAAATAAGATTCTGGAGCGGAGAAGCCCAGGGGAAGCTGGTGAAACGGACGGCTGCCGAGGTGGGTGTGCGTCAAATAGAGATCGCGAACCATCGTCGTATATGCTTAGATGCTAGATGCTTTGCGTGTGTGGAGAAGATTTGCTGGTCTGGCTGTATTGATGGTACAGTTGAGTAGGATCGAGATTGCCGGTGAAGTGAGAGCAGCACACGCCCCAGTGAATCCGTTCAGTGAAGGAGCCAAGAGGTGGCGTAGCTATAGTAGCTATGTAGCTGAATAGTGGTGAGGGTTGTCAAGACAAGTGCTTTTCACTTTGCTGTAGTAGTAACTAGTATTGAACTCGCATGTGGCAAAAACTGAAGTAGTGTAGCTAGTAGCCATTGGCTGAATAAAAAATAAAGTGGCGAGGGTTATGCACTTTCAAGTGCTTTTCATTCACTTTTGACTTTCTCGTCCTCCAGCTGATTCTGACTACACTGCCACTACAAGGACAGTAACATTTATAGCTGGAGAAACTGAGACTGCAGTCAGTGTCCAAATCTCTAATGACCTTCTGATAGAAAGTAGTGAGACATTTCTCGGCCTCTTGACCAGCTCTGAACCAAATGTCATGATTGGTGACGGGACTGCAACTGTGACAATTCTGGACAATGATGGTTATCACCTTCCATTTTTAAATAAGGTAATTTTAGACATTCCTTTTTCACTCAGGATGTCCCAGTCTACCGGATATCCCCAATGGATCTGTGGCAGTGTCTGGCTTTGGGACAGGAGATATGGCAGTCTACTCTTGTGATGAAGGGTATGAGCTGGTCGGAAACCCAACTAGAGAGTGTTTAACTGACTCACATGGAGTGGAGAGGCTCCAGTCTGTCGCAGTCTTGCTGGTATATAGCTAGAGCAATGTGACCCTAAGTAGCTATTCTGTTTTCTGTTTGTAATGACCACATGGCTCATTCGTTACAAACTCACCTCCATGAGTATGGAACTAGTCTTATCAAAGCTTAAATATTTTCAGTACTGGTGTTTTTTTGACCCGGTGTCCTACACTGTGACTGAGGGAGAGGATGAATTTGCTATAATGAGGCTGAACAGGAGTGGAAACACTCACTTAACGACTAATCTCACCTTTATGACAGTGCGTGGAACTGCCGATGGTATGGTGTATATTTATGCATGTATCATGACTCTTGACTCTTTATAAATTGAAATGTCTCTACCAGAGTCTGACTTTACTCCGTCGTGGGGCGATGTGGTGTTTGAAGCTGGAGTGACAATTGTAGTTGTGAATGTTATGATTACCAATGATGCTACTCTAGAAGATGATGAAATATTCACTGCAACCATCATTTCCAGAAAAACATAATGTCATAGTTGATGATGCCAGGAGTAATACTAATATAGCCATCCTTGATAACGACCGTGAGTTAATGAACTTTCCACTTCTTCTTGCTTTCCATCTATGCCCCAGGTGTTACCATCGGGTTTGTGAGTACCCTTGTACAGCGTCAATGAGAATGAAGAAATTGCAGCTCTTTCCATTGCTGTCTTATCCGGTCAGCTATCAGGGTAAGTTGTTGTACGATTGAGCACACAAGATGACAGTGCCGCAGGTATAGGTCTTACTACAATTTGACAGAGGCGCTAAAGGTGACGCTAACCTTTCTCCGATACAGACCCGGAAGATTACATCTGTGTTAATATAACGCTCACGTTTGGTCCTGACTCAACAGATGTGGTTGTGATGATTCCAATAACCAATGATACTGTGTATGAACCACTCATTGAAGAATTCTTCTCCAACCTGGAGTTGGTGACTGACAATGCAAATGTTATAGTCAGACCAGCTAGAGCAACTGTAATGAGTTTTGACGACGACAGTAAGTGTGGAAGCAAAGCATGAAGAATGTTAAGTTTTGTATTTTTCTATCTGTAGTACCAGCTCCAGTGTTTGAGATGACCATGTACACTGTACCGGAGGATGATGCAGGCAGTGTCCCACTGTGTGTTGACATTGGTGTGGAGATCAGTGAACCAATCACCTACACCATCACTACTGCCCAGAAGACCCCTCCCCAGGCTGAAGGTAAGTCACTGCTGAATCTTAGTAGCTACTAGAATGAATGCAATGCATTCTTGGCAAGCAAATGCGAGTGCAAAAGTTCCGTGGATTAATGCAACAGCATTAACTAATAGACGATAGTGCCCAACTAGAAATCCAAGTTAAAAAAAGCTTGCTTTGCTTGCCAATAGACCTGTGATGCATGAGAATATTATAACAGAACGTAGTATGCTCTTCTAAGAGCACAAAATAGGTTATCTTCACACCTTTTTTTACTTTTTCAGTGGAAGACTACACAAGCGGAACTACCATCACAATACTTGTGCCAGGGACTGGAATGTGTATCGACTTCACTGACCTTCTTGTGAATGACGACATTGCTCTGGAGGGAGATGAGGCTTTCACCATTTTCATTGATGGAACTCCTTCCGTAGCAATGGTCACTATCACGGAAAGTGATGGTGAGTCCAACACTTACACAATTCTTATTCATGTAGAATTACTGCATAGTCCATTGCCGTTTACAGTTTTCAGAGAATACTTAAGTATTGTGCGTGTGGACTTACAGCCAAAAAGTTGTCACAACACAACAGGGATAATAGCTACACGTTTCTTTTCTCATTTCAGAGGTGTCAGTTGGGTTTGATCCAACGAGTTACAGTGTCCTTGAAGGCGACCCTGCTCAACTGAACCTAGTTAGAGTTGGAGATGCAGAACAGCCAGTTGTTGTGACTATAGTTACCAACGATGGCACTGCTGAAGGTTTGCCAATGTACATGCAAGATTACGTATTATGAAACGTCGTGTTCTCAGCCGGTGAAGATTATGAACCACTAGTCAATGGTGTACAAGTCATCTTCAATCCTGGACAATTTACCAAGTCCGTCACTGTGAATACAATTACTGACGTATCTGTCGAGGGTACTGAGATGTTTAATGCTCAACTCATTCCTATCACTGCTGGTGTTGGTGTGTTTGACTCTGAAGCCATGGTGTTCCTCCGTGAAGAAGGTATAAAAACCACATGTATGACGTGTGATTAACTGGCGCAAAGGCAAGAAAAGTTGATAACACCTCTCCTGCCTGTAGTTGCAAAAAATCGGGGTATTGTTAGACACTCTATGTATATTATAGAGATAGCACAGTTTGGTTGATCCATGTACTTAAAAAATGGCAATCAGTTGTCCCGCGATGCTGTAAATTATAGCCTCCTTCTCTCTGCCAAGGTCCTGGTTGTAAGCTGTTGCTTTTGCCTAAGCTACTGACAGTTGTAGACACAAGCTATTGACTGTAATTATATGCATCAATATTCTGTAGTTGTGGGCATTTCAGTCCTACTACGTACACTGTGACGGAGGGAGTTGATGAATTTTCTGAACTTGTAATTGTCAGAAGTGGAGACCTCAGTAGAAACACAACTGTCACTGTCACCACTTTCGATGCATCAGCTTTATAGAGAAATCTAATGACATCTACGTTTT